AACTAAAATAATTAAAATACAACAAATAAATAAACAAATATAAATATTAAATATTTAAATTAATTAATTAAACTAAATAAATAAATAAAATAAATAACTAAACAAATAAATACAACAAAAATAAAACAAACAAAAAAACTAATTAATATAAAAATATAAAATATTGAATTTATTATAAAAAATTATTCAGCATTCACTAGCTACTGGGTCTGATCAGCAAAACGTTACTAAATAGGGTGGATTAATTTTATTGAACCCAGATTGCGGATTTATTAAATTAAAAGATAATTAAACAAAATAAATAATGAAACAAACAAACAAACAAACAAAATTAATAAAAACCCAAAATAAATCAGTTGTTATAAAATGTTGAATTATAGAAAAGTAAATTTTAAACAAATTCTACGCGGCTGATTCAGCATTCACCAGCCACTGTGTCTGATCTGCAAAAACGTTACTCAATAAGTACGGGCAGATGGGCTTATACGATTTCTACAAGCCCAAAGCATTTATGACATCCGTACTTTAAGCAGCAGTCTTGGCTCATCGTCTCACTCATAAAGTGGGTTTGTGTGACTGCAGCATGCGCTTCAGGCCTCGACACATCCAGGGTGCGGACGCTCGCCCTGCTGGCACGACTCCGCGCATGAGGAAGTGTGATGTGAGAGGAAGATCGTTCTGCATGAATCAAAAGGGACCTGAGATCATTTCCCCCGGAGCTGAAAAGCGACCACACCAAATAAGGGATCAGATAGATCTCATTCCACAGCTTTCCACTGCAGATTAAGCCGCCGGTGTCAGTCGCTCCGTCTTTCTCTCGCAGCTGCCCAGAGAGTACAAATAACTTCCTCTGACAGGAAGTGCCATTATCTCCCAGAGGAGCCTTGCTGTGGTGGGCAGCGCTCGAGAGCACGGCCTTTTTATTAAAAGCATTTTCCTTGTTTTACTTCAGATGTTTCCCAGATTTTTAGCAGACGTCTTACAGATGTAGTTGTGCTGTCTGCGTAGTTGAGATGCAGATAAAACTAACCTTTATTACTGTCATTCATAATGTCTAAATATAATTTTATAAATACAAAAAATATATATAAGGGAGCGGAAATGGTTAATACGCCTATATAAGTACTTCTCTGCTACTAGTGATAATTTAATGTATTTTTATTTTTAAATAAGTCTTGACCTTCCTACATTATGAAACTTTTAGTTTTATAAATGGGGGCAACCTATGAAGGATGAACAAATAATATCATCACATTAAAAATAACTTTCAAATTCGGTAATACTTAAAGCTTTGAAGTGCTGGGAAAAGTTGTGTGAAGCATTTAAAACACTCAAAAACATTAGACCACTTCTGCCACAAGTTGTTCCTGTAGTTTTACTATGTTAAATCCATGGTGAATGGTGGTGATTTGTGTTTATTGAACAATGTTTTTCCTGTTTTCCACATCAGCGGTGTTTGTTCTGATATCTGTAGCTTTAACAGAATTCTGCACCGAATTCGAATGCTTCTCACGAGATTTCACAGAGATGTTATAGATTCTGCGGCGAATTCGACTGCTTTCTTCACTGTATCTCCCAGCGCTGTGTATAACGGTGTCGCGTGATTGAGATCAGATAAACCGACCCCTGAATGAATCACTCGTTTAAACGATTCGGATCAATCGCAATGACTCACTTATTAAGAGTGACTCGCTGCCACCTGCTGGCGGTTTTAATGACAAACTTCGGCTTTTTCTTTCTTTTGATTTTTTTTCATGTTTTAAATCATTTCAAATATCAGTATTCAACGTTTTATGTTTAATATATCAAAACATTATTTATGCATTTGTAATTGCAGGTTAAATGCATTCATGTCTTGCATTAAACAAAATACATGTGTGTAAATACATCTAAATGCAGCTTCAGATGCAGCTTCTGTGATGATTTAATTTGCTCGGTAACAGCCCAAATGTCTTATTATTCTAATTCCCTGATTAAATGTAAGAATTTGACTCAAAAGATAATGGACACATTTAGAAAAAATGGCTTTATAAAGGTAAAAATGCCCATAAAATGCAAAAATCAGTGTAAACTTATTGGAAAAGATTCATTTCTATCAGTATGAACTGACCAGCACACAGAATATGAAGAATATTAAAAACATCAGGAGTCCGCTGTCTTTGGCAGTCCTTAAGATACCAGCACAATAACACACTCAGCAAAATATCGTCTAATTATCGTTATCGATAAAATCCCAGAAAATATCGAGATATAATTTTTTGTCAATATCGCACACCCCTACGCTACGTAGCTCAAACGAGTAGCGCGGATTCGTTCCACTTTCCAATGTAGCTCTTGTAAATCGGTCGTGACAAGAACGCAAGGCTGTTCATTCCATTTTTAGAACCTTTCTTTGACTGAATGTGCAATGCGATGACGTAACGGGACGCGTCTAAGCCCAAAATCTGTGGCAGTAACGAAAATTTGTGAGCTCTTGTGAAAATTGCAGAGTTTGCTTGATTTTGCGATAAATTCAGCGATCGCAGAATCGCTAAATCCTGGAGGGACTGATTTACTTTTTAAGTACTAATGCACACTTTTAAGTACTAATATGTATCATTTAGGTGTAAATAATGGCTCTTTTCCACTGCGTGGTACGACTCGGCTCGGCTCAGTACGGCACGGCACGGCTCGGCTCGGTTTGCGTTTCCACTGCAGTTTAGTAGCGCTTTAGAGTTGGCGGGATTATTCACATGTCGTTATAGTTGCACCGCCTCTACTGCCACGACTCCTAAAAAACGTTTTCATTCCGCGTCGCCCCATCAAGCTCTCGCTGGATCCGCTCCTCTGCTATCAACGAGAGGAACGTTTGTACTTCCTCAACAGGGGGAACAGCCACTTTTTGGTTGTTAAAAAAGGTGCGCTCGTTCAAAACAGTTGCGTTCGATCCTTCGCTGGCTGTGCTGATTAAAATCTAGCGGTTCTGTTGTGTTTGTGTCGCAAGTTCACAAGTTGTGATGCAGGTAGTGACGATTCTCTCCGGCCAATCTGTGATCAGCAGAGTTTACACGTCACGTTTTGGTAACGGTACGGTTCGCTTGGAACCCCAACCGAGGTGGTACTAAAAAAAGTACCAGGTACTGTACCCCCCAAAAGTGAACCGTACCGTGCCGTACCATGCAGTGGAAAAGCGCCATTAGATACAAAGGTGTACCGCCCAGGGACAGCTTTGTACCTTTATTCTGAGAGTGTACAGGTTTGTAATGACATGAGGAGAATAAATGATGACAGATTGATGAACTATTGTTTAAACTCTGGGCGTTCAGTTCTAAATCTCCACATTAGGACTAACTATTTTCCCTCCGGTCATTACGCAACGGCAAGCACTCCAGCCAATCCGCTGGCCCATAAAGGGGCTGCTTTTGCATTGAAGCCCAGATAACATGTTGAGATACCCCCGTATCTCAACATTCCACAGTTTACGCTGCTGTCACTATCTATTACACACAATCGAGCCGTGGAAGCACCAAGCAAGAAGATCTGTACCAAATCGCCCAGAAATTCGGTTGCAACATCCATGCGATACCAAGCATTCATCAAGCACCATGCCAGCATCTCCTCGCTGTCTGCCAAAGCCGAGGTCAGATTTACGGTCACGCCGCCTACAGACAGATATTCCTGGGGTTTAAAGTCTCCGCTCGAGTGTTAAGAGTGCAGCTGGCGCACTCGAGCTCCTGTGCAAACAGATCCATCTCCATCGCAGATGATACATAACGTCCCTCCGAGGCCCGTGTTGCATGTGGAAGACAGGTGAGAGACCTGCGTTTGGAGGCCGTTTACCAAAGATCAACGGGAAATAAGCTGAATAAATGAGCCAGATGGCTCGTGTTTAAGCAGAACTGATGTGTGAGGTTTTCTTGGAGCAGCTTTATGGCAAAAATATATATCTGGCAACATTGTGCCAAACACATTAACTTTGTGTCTTACTTGGACAATCTGTGTTTCCTGTGGCCTCAAACAGATGCCTGTTTTTCCTGGTGGAAATCCTTTGGTAATATAACCTCTAAAGCACTGTATTAAAAGCAATATCCTTGAATGATATTTTAAAATTTAAGTCAACATGCAACAAAGACCGCAACTCATTTTACTGCTATAATGTGACGTCTTGTGAAACAGTTTATGCAATAAAAAAATAAAAACCGCAGGATCGACGGGACCAGAATTTGGTCAGAGCTAAAGGAAAGTTTGCATTGCCAAAAGCCTTAACATAAACCAAAAGCCCAAGAAGTGTTAATCTAGTCAACAAAATTACTGACAAAAATATTAGTTGATGAACAACTCATTGATTTTTGACAAAGATAACGAAGGTGAGATGGCAAATGTGCATCATGACGATAATCAAGTGTAAGGGAAAAAAATTATACTAAAAATACAACAAAAAAAAAAACTTTTGAACTGTAGTGTGTACAAAAAGTTTGAATATTTAATGAAATTTTAAAAATGAATAAAATTATTGAATATAACAAAATATTGACCAAATTGAATGGATATTCTCATTTGCTGTTTTTGTTCAAATGTAAAAATTAATGTCAAAATTGTATCCATCTTATCTATCATTTTATCCATTTACTTGCTATTTCTTTGTAACTAGGCTATGTAAAATTTACTGGCAATTTCTGAGTGAAAAGTAAATCTTAAAACACCATTTTTTTCACCTGCGACACTGCTGAATATGAATACAAGCACTGTTTATACAGGATGAGTATAAGAGATAAATACTGACGACAGGATAGACTACAGATAGAGAGAGAAAACAGAGACGCCAACAATTCTGTAACCAAACATGAGCAACATAACAGGGTCCATCATCGTCTTTCATCACCCAATAGCCTGACAGCATGTGCTAAACAACATGCTGAGGATGCACAGATCAAAGAAGAACTATATGTTGCTCATGCACCTATTATTGACATTTAAAGGGCCATTTAAAGATTGCATGACATGATGAAGGTGACACTCACTCTGGAGATGGTGAGAGGCATGCTGAAGTCCTTGCCACCCTGCAGTCTGAAGCCCCAGGGTGAAGGTCCAATCAAGGACACGCTGTAGTTATTCATGGTGGAGCGGGTCGCTGTTGTGGGTACTGCCAAAGTCCAATTCACAGCCTGAGAAATGACAGCAAAGACTTGTTGTTGTTGTTTCAACAGGACACACAGTAAAGGTCACTGATCATGCAGAAACAAAACACGATATACTGACGCCTAAACATGACATTTCGCAACTTTGGACAAATCCTCGCCTAGGAAGCATCAAATGAAGTTAATACCCAATCGGATGTGCCAAATTCCTCCGATCTCTGTTTAACCTACAATGAGCACCCGAAAGAAAGAAAGAAAGAAAGAATACAACTATATAAACAAGTAAATAATTAAGCAAACAAAGAAATAAGGACAAATGAATAAACAAACAAACAAACAAAAAAGACATAATTTCAAAAAAGAAAAAAAAGAAAAATATATAAATAAAAATATATAAGCAAACAAGGAAATAAACAAATATAATCATAAATAAAAAATATAAGCAAATAAATTCAAAATAAATAAGCAAACAAACAAAGAAATAAAGTGTGAGATTGAAAAACAGAACACTGAGACGGGGAAAATATAAATATATAAGCAAATAAACAAAACAAACAAACAAACAAACAAACAAAAATAAATAAACAAAATGCAAATACATATATATATATATATATATATATAAACACACATACAAACGAGCAAAGAAAATAAAGCAAAATCCAAATATTTGCCTAAAATAGACAAATAGAGAAGCACAGCTCAAATTCACCAGAGCAATTGATTGATCTGGAAAATGTTACAGGTTTCTAAATAAATCTAGGAACAAGATGGTTCATAGTCCAAACTTATCTCATAGGTGCAGATAAAACAAAAGAGCAGTCGCTATTTATATAAACCTGCTGGGACGGGGGAATCTCGGTGTGCACAGGCAAGTATTTTAAGAGCTTACGGGTGAGCGTGCAGTTGTTGGTGAGGTAAAACCCAAGTAAAATCCAGTACAGGCCAAATTGAAACATTCCAGAGAAATGGATTAGACTCTGGGGGGTCTCGCTCAGGAATGTCCCACAACACTGACGCTTTTCGAAGTTAAAATCATTCACCTGCTCTCCTCATTCTTCAGACCTCACTGTATGTCGGTAACCGAGAACGTCTACAAAAGATACAACCGCTTCATTTCAAACTGACCTGGTTCTTTCCACACCCTCAAAACTGATCTTACGCATTCGTTAAATGCTGTGACTTTTCCATGCTCTGTTATAAATTGGACAAATGTAAAGATGAGTGCCAATGAAAGTCAATGAATGAACTATGTGGATGACAACATGCACCACATAACCTCAACCTTAACATTCCCAGCCATCTATTTAATAACCGAATACCAGAGTTGCATGAAACGAGAACATGAACGTCAACAGTGACTCAAAGAGGTGTTGTGTGCATCATGTTGTGTCTGTGACTATTGAGACACTGGAGCTGATGTAATGTTCTTTTGACAGCAGTTCCTCTGGAAGCACTAAAGGTACGGTTATAGAGAACGACATGTATTGAGAACATTCTGAATAGATTGAATGAAGCGTTTTTCCACGCCTGAAGCCATGAGGGCTGTTTGTGTTTGTCACACAGGCTTTCTAACCGGTACATTTACTCATCCTATCAGATCTAGATCAACAATACTGTTGTGACTCAGACAGAGTCAGAATAACATGACAAGCATAGCTTCTTCAAAATATAATTGAGTTTAAGTTTGCAGACTATTATCTCCTGTTGTCTGTCATTTGTTTAGAGCTGTTTTGGCTTGTAAACGCTGCTTGATCTGTGCAGATTTCTCTCCTGATTCAGACCAGACCACTTTTTCACTGGAGGAAGAGCTATTATTGATTATGCACTCATATTTTAGTTAAAAACATCTTAATGATGGATTTGTTTCTTACACAAACGCAGCTTTTGACTTCACAAGATGTTAACTGATGGACTGGAGTGGTGTGGATTATTGCGATGTTTTTAACAAATGTTTGGACTCTCATTCTGACGGCACCCATTCACTGCAGAGCATCCATTGCTGAGACACTGATGCAATGCTACATTTCTCCAGATCTGATGAAGAAACAAACTCATCTACAAATTTTCATTTGTGTGAACTACTCCTTTAAGCTCATAATAATGGCAATTAGTTACTTTTGAGCTTGAAACATGCCCAGTCAAATACACAAATACAAACTTTGAAACTATAGACAAGAGGTAACCACAGAGGCTTAATATGTCAGTCACCATATGAGCTAAAACTGTGTAAACACCAACAGGCTTTTCCACTGATCTGTCAGTCACGGTTGGTCATGGCACGAATGGCACAAGGCTACTCAGTGATGGTTACGACGCAATACCAAAGGCACGCCCTAGAAAACAGACAGCCTGGTATCCAGCCGCCCAATAAAAACATTGCATTTTATTTAGTGAAATAAAGTAACAGTAAATTCCGGACTCCCAACACTTCCTTTTTGGTTCTCCAAAGAACATTTAAGTAAACAGTTCTTAAAAGAACCACTGTTTCTTAGAGTGAACAACATACTATAAATAATATTCATACTATAAATAACCTCTGTGGAAAGGAAAGCTTACATGTACGTTAGAGGTTCTTCACTAAACCATCGATGGCAATGAAGAACCTTTATTTTTAAGAGTGAAAATAAGCTTAAGATCAAAGCCAAACATCATATTGGCCAGAAACGGCATAACTTTCCAGCTTCTGGAAAGTTCCATTTAATGGAGGAATTACATAATTCTACATCCATCCAAGCTCTAAAATAACACACTTATGACAGCCGCTAAATCACTGCATGTGTAGACAGGGTCAAGCTACCGATCCATAGGTGGCAATTTAGGAACTTAATACCCAACACATAAAGAAACAAGCTCCAACATGGCTGGACTTTCAGTGCAATGCATAACAATTTAATGTTTAGCCACGCAGGCCTGAACCTAAACTACCAAATTGACCCGTAAACACATTCTCAGACGCTGCTCCGTTTGATAGCCGGCTGCGAAAGCATTCAGAGCTTCCCTGTAAAACACAGGTGCACTTTATAACACTGACCAACTCATGATTACCCGCGTTTCATTGGCTCTTATGTAACAGGAATGCACCTGAACAAAACGTCCTAGTGTTTTACTAGACTATAACCAACTTATTATTGATGAATCCCAATGGTGAAGAATCCTGTCTATCGCATGGGAAGGTTATGGGGTTGGTAAAGTGCTGGTTAGTGTGCTTCAATTCCACCTACATTCATGTGGACAATCCTGTTTTTGATCGACTACTTCCCCAGACGTCCCTATAGAAGGCTTCATCAAATTTAGCTCACGTCTGGGGACAATTTTGTATGAAAATATAGTATGTACACACATGCAAGCTTACTCAGCTTAAGGTCACTGGCCAGCTATTTGGAAGCACTAAAATTACATGAAATGACTGTTAATTATGTTCATACTGCATTTAAACTGTGTGTTAGCGAACACAACCATTATTATCCACTTAAAAGGTGTCAGTCTCCAACACTGCACTTTTGGACCATTTTTGGTTGGTTTCTCCAAAGAATCTTTCAGTAAACTTTTCTTGAAAGAGCCATTTTTTCTTACACTCTCAAAAATAAACTTTCTTTGTTGGTTCCATGAAGAAACTTTAACATCCATGCCCTATTAAAAACAAAAAAGGTTATTTACTGATGCCAATAAATAGCCTCAAATGTCTGTTATTTGACATGCAACATCACTTTTAGAGCAAAACTTACGGTGGTCGAGAAGTGCAAAACAAATCACAATTCTGAAAACAAAATAACAAATTACAAACGCAAATGCAAGTCTAAAAAAGAAAATAACAATTCAGAAAACACAACAACAATTCAGAAAACATTATAACAAGTCAGAAAGCACAACAACAAATCAGACAAACCGGAAGAGGTAGGTATAGTTTGAGACAGCGCCATTGGTTTGGGATTACTCACCGCTGATTGGACGAGACATCTGTCAATCACCGTATACAGAGAAGAACCAGCCGAAGAACAGCAGAGTCCTGGTAGAAAGTTCGGCGATGGTATTAAAGTAGCTCAGTTTAAATGTATTGTATGAATTGCCCTTACTCTGGAATAAAAAATAGGGGGTGTCTATTTACATTTAGTTAAAAGTGGCTGTAAACAATCAGCTCCAGCGGCGCAGATGGATAAGCGCTTGTCGTTGGCTTTTTGACGCGATCGACCCGGGTTCCTGTCTTTTGCCGAACTTTTTTTTCCTCCCTTTTCAAATCTCGTATTAGCAATAGATTATATTTACACTAAGTGAAAATAGCAGTATTTTTAGCAATATGCCATTTACACTAAGTGCAAATACCTATTTACACGATGTTAAAATAGTACTATCAAGTATACTACTTGTTGCAAATAGTGGCAATTATCTGCACTTCAGTATTGTAGTACATTATAAAACAGTATGCAATAATAACGTATTGAGTGTAAATGATCATTTTAATTTTTAAATGGATGCCACCTTATTGGTACAATAAAGCCCTCCCTACACCTACCCTAACCCTACCCGATACTTTATTTTCAACTTTTTGATTATTTCCTTAATTTTTATTGAAACTAAATGCCTTTACGGTGTGATACGAGATTTGAAAAGGGAGAGAAAAAAAAGTTTGGCAAAAAGCGTCGATCGCGTCAAAAATCCAACGACAAGTGCTTATCCATCTGCGCCACTGGAGCTGATGGTTTACAGCCACTTTTAACTAAATGTAAATAGACACCCCGTATTTTTTATTCCATAGTAAGGGCAATTCATACAGTACATTTAAACTGAGCTACTTTAATACCATCGCGGAACTTTCTACCAGGACTCTGCTGTTCTTCGGCTGGTTCTTCTCTGTATACGGTGATTGACAGATGTCTCGTCCAATCAGCGGTGAGTAATCCCCAAGCAATGGCGCCGTCTCAAACTATACCTACCTCTTCCGGTTTGTCTGATTTGTCTTTGTGTTTTCTGACTTGTTAATTTGTTTTCGGATTTGTTGTTGTGCTTTCCGAATTGTTATTTAGTTTTTTAGACTTGCATTTGCGTTTGTAATTTGTTATTTTGTTTTCAGAATTGTGATTTGCTTTGCACTTCTCTACCACCGTACAAACTACATCAACATCCCTTCAAACTCCCACATTGGGGAATTCATCATCAGCTATACTGACGCACAAACCAACAATTTTACACTCTTTTCTGAAGTTGCATTAAATTTTCCACGTTTTGTTTCTTATTTAAAACTATTACTCTCAAGGACAATCTTACAGCAAAATGACATACACATGCAACAAGCAGACATCAAAATAAACCCGTAATCAAATCTGTAAATACATTGCTAAAATAGCAATACATCTACTTATCTAAGACTATATTGACACGCCCTCTTCAAACTTTACTTCCCTTAAAGTTCCTAAAAACTCGCGTTTAAAGCGCATTGACGCGCGTCTTCGAGTCACTCACCTGTGAGCTGCTGTGGAGTCAGACTGTGAGTGAAGAACAGAGAGAAAACGAGTTTAGAAACTCCAGCGAGCCTCTGGCTGACTTTAACGCCTCTTTAACACACGCGCTGCACTGACGCGACCACGGAGCTGTCCGTCAAATATTTATTTGCTTACTTGATTCTCTGTTTTATTATGTTTGTTATGTTTCTTGATGCTATGTTGAATTGTATTTACATTTGATATATCTTAATAAAAACAATTTTATTAGGTCAAATTGCTGCACAGATTGTTCCCAGCTGAAGTGTTTTTGAAAAGGTTTAATCAGACATAGATGCAAGCTGGTCATTTTGTGGTGTCCTAAATGAAACTGATATGCATATCTTCTGTTACTGTCCTCACATGCAGCTATTTTGGATTGAATTATCTAATGTTATCAATCGCAATGTGCTCCAGAGTTTCTCTTTGCTTTTGAAGGATGTCCTGTTTTGGCTTCTTTAATATACAAAAAGATCAAATTAATGGATATTTTATTATTAACCTATTATTAGGCTACTTCTTGCAAAATGTCATATTACTCACCTCATCAAAATCCTTTATTTATTGTTTTTAGAAAAAAAGAGGTTCAGCAGTATCCAAACTCATCTTCCAAGAATCTTAAAACTGTTAAATTGTTTAATTTAGTTTGTTAAAGCTTTCGTTTTGTATTATTTATTGTTATATCGCTGTATAAATGGTGCTTTGCATGTAATGTCACCTCTTTCTACGTAGTGTTGATATTTTATGTACTTTTATCTTTGGTACCTTGGCATTAATAATAATAATAAATCGAATAAAAAAGGCAGCAGTGCATCCCCTAGATGTCCATTTTTCTGGACCAATTTTTTGATAGCTTTCATTGGAAGAAAGCATGGTTACTCCCTGAAAGATTTCTAATAAAATAAGAGAGGTAGACTACAACAAACTCCCAAATTGCTTCTTTTTTTATTTCTCTAACTTGTGTGTATTCTTCAAAGCTGAGGAAGAAACTTTACTTCATTTATTCTATCTTTGTAATCAGGTTAAATCTCTGAAGTTGTTACTTATCCTCTTTTGTAAAATATGATTTAATCTCTTAAACTCATTGATAGCAATAAGAATAGCAAGCTTCTTAAGGCTTATGATATTGTCCTTACTGACGGAGGTGTTATTGTTTGTTTGTTTTGCCCTTTCCTTTATGTTATTGTATTTCAATGCAGTGCTGATTCTTGTTGTATTTTCTTTCTTGCAATAAAAGAAGAAAAAAAGACAGCTGTACGTAGGATTTATCCAGTAAAACACTTCATTTACCTGTGAAACCGTTTTTATCACAGTTTTATCTACTTTTTCAATGCAGTGCTGATTCTTGTTGTATTTTCTTTCTTGCAATAAAAGAAGAAAAAAAGACAGCTGTACGTAGGATTTATCCAGTGAATGATTTAAAACACTTCATTTACCTGTGAAACCGTTTTTATCACAGTTTTATCTACTCGAGATCATTTTGGATTAGGGTATTTTTGGATATGAGAAAACTGGAATGATGCATGACAGAGATTTGTGTTTTTTGATGTGCATTTTTATTTCAAAATGATATTTTGAAAAGTGAAGAACAATAAATTATTCAATTTTCACATTTTATTAATGACTTGAAATTATATACATAAACATTCTGGAACAAACTAAATACAAATAGTGCTGGAAAAGTTTAATGCTGTAATGCGTTCTTTCTTTCTTTACTTATTTATTTTCCTGGTAACTAATGTTAATAATGTGATTATGTAATACCTTTTATTTTATTAGGATGTGGAGATAATTTCAATAACCTTATGTGTGTGTGTAGGAGATATATATATGTGTGTGTGTGTGTGTGTGAGTGTGTGAGTGTGAGAGTGTGTGTGTGTGTGTGTGTGTGTGAGTGTGAGATATTTATTTGCTTACTTGATTCTCTGTTTTATTATGTTTGTTATGTTTCTTGATGCTATGTTGAATTGTATTTACATTTGATATATCTTAATAAAAACAATTTTATTAGGTCAAATTGCTGCACAGATTGTTCCCAGCTGAAGTGTTTTTGAAAAGGTTTAATCAGACATAGATGCAAGCTGGTCATTTTGTGGTGTCCTAAATGAAACTGATATGCATATCTTCTGTTACTGTCCTCACATGCAGCTATTTTGGATTGAATTATCTAATGTTATCAATCGCAATGTGCTCCAGAGTTTCTCTTTGCTTTTGAAGGATGTCCTGTTTTGGCTTCTTTAATATACAAAAAGATCAAATTAATGGATATTTTATTATTAACCTATTATTAGGCTACTTCTTGCAAAATGTCATATTACTCACCTCATCAAAATCCTTTATTTATTGTTTTTAGAAAATGAGAGGTTCAGCAGTATCCAAACTCATCTTCCAAGAATCTTAAAACTGTTAAATTGTTTAATTTAGTTTGTTAAAGCTTTCGTTTTGTATTATTTATTGTTATATCGCTGTATAAATGGTGCTTTGCATGTAATGTCACCTCTTTCTACGTAGTGTTGATATTTTATGTACTTTTATCTTTGGTACCTTGGCATTAATAATAATAATAAATCGAATAAAAAAGGCAGCAGTGCATCCCCTAGATGTCCATTTTTCTGGACCAATTTTTTGATAGCTTTCATTGGAAGAAAGCATGGTTACTCCCTGAAAGATTTCTAATAAAATAAGAGAGGTAGACTACAACAAACTCCCAAATTGCTTCTTTTTTTATTTCTCTAACTTGTGTGTATTCTTCAAAGCTGAGGAAGAAACTTTACTTCATTTATTCTATCTTTGTAATCAGGTTAAATCTCTGAAGTTGTTACTTATCCTCTTTTGTAAAATATGATTTAATCTCTTAAACTCATTGATAGCAACAAGAATAGCAAGCTTCTTAAGGCTTATGATATTGTCCTTACTGACGGAGGTGTTATTGTTTGTTTGTTTTGCCCTTTCCTTTATGTTATTGTATTTCAATGCAGTGCTGATTCTTGTTGTATTTTCTTTCTTGCAATAAAAGAAGAAAAAAAGACAGCTGTACGTAGGATTTATCCAGTAAAACACTTCATTTACCTGTGAAACCGTTTTTATCACAGTTTTATCTACTCGAGATCATTTTGGATTAGGGTATTTTTGGATATGAGAAAACTGGAATGATGCATGACAGAGATTTGTGTTTTTTGATGTGCATTTTTATTTCAAAATGATATTTTGAAAAGTGAAGAACAATAAATTATTCAATTTTCACATTTTATTAATGACTTGAAATTATATACATAAACATTCTGGAACAAACTAAATACAAATAGTGCTGGAAAAGTTTAATGCTGTAATGCGTTCTTTCTTTCTTTACTTATTTATTTTCCTGGTAACTAATGTTAATAATGTGATTATGTCTAATGTGTGTGTAGGAGATATATATGTGTGTGTGTGTGTGTGTGAGTGTGTGAGTGTGTGAGTGTGAGAGTGTGT